TTGTGTTCGGTTATTATCAATACAATATGATCTACAATTTACATGAAACTCACACAGAATATATTTGCCTCAAGAAAGTTTGCTCCACGCGACATAAAATACGGAAAACATGAAGATCTGAAATTGTATTTGAACTTACTTCATGTACTGAATATTTAACAATATAAGAACACAAAATCCTTCTGAATATAAATAGTGTGATAAACCTCTCATTAGCATTATTATTCTGGAAACAGTACACTTGAATCATCTAAGAATTAATGTCAAAAGCAATTAGGTATTCAAAATCGCAAAGAACCCGCCATAAAGTCTTTGTACACAATTTTATTAATTTTTCTAAGTTTTTCTCAGCATGCCACTGAGGTCAAAACGTACCATAATATTGAAATTATTTTACAGTTTGTGTAGCTGAACTATATCTGTAGAGTTCAGCCATTAAGTACACCTGCATAGTCCACGCTACTAAAAATATTTACGCAAAGACACACGTGGTGTTGTCAACAAAAACAGAAAATGTGTACACAAATTAGCAGTCATATCTATTAGATTCGAACACTTCAAGAGAACCACCTGAAGATGACCAATTAAGGTCGAAATATGTAATGGATTCTTAATACAAATCGAAACTGTTCTTAAGATTTGTTGCGTAAACTGACTGTCAACCTAACGAACTTCTAGACAACACATCATTGAAAATTTCTATTGTGAGGGTGAAACATGTAGCTGTGCTTGAACCCAACCCATAAAAAATTCCTAACATTAGTCTTGTTTCTGAAATGAAGAATATCAAGGCGTTAAACATCCACGCGACATACTCACGACCCTGATCATGTAGGCAGCAAGCACATCTGAAACGTCGGTAAACTTCTAGCAAACTACGACGCACCATCCTAGAAGACAGTCATCTTTGTACTTGAGGTCGTCAGGACCTGAAATCTCACCTGATACAGGTTTAGTTTGTAGTTCTTTTTAAGATGTCCTTTTCTTTTTTATTATGTAACTAGTAACCTCGCCCATTTTCACACGTCTGAGTGCGAATGTTAACCTTGTCATTTAAAAACAAGTCGTTCTGGATGAAAATAAAACATTTGTGTGGTCCATTAAGTGTAGAAACGCAATGAAACTGCTGTTCATTTTGTGGCACTTAGCCCAGCCTTGTGATTACTGAAATTCTTCTCTATCAAGTTCAACGGCTTCACTAGACTAGAGAAAAAGTTCCATACATTCTCAGTTCATCTAAAGGACCATTCAGAATTATTTTCTGCCTTAAGTTTTCTAAGTTGTTTTTTTCGTTATCTGTCTCCGTATATTTTTCTTCGCTTTCCCCGTCTTTATTTCTATATTTTATTCTCACTTCTTTCGTTACACATTCACTGGGCTTCGTTCCTTCATTTTTCGTATCTCTTCTTTTTCATGTACTTTTTTCCTTGTTCTGATTTAAACTTACTTGATTTTTATTAGTGGTTTCGAACCTTTGGATCAAACTGAAAGAAGTGTAAATCAGTAATTTGGTTACTCAGTTCAGATAGGCTCTTTTACCTTCCTATTCCTTCCTTTCCTTTATCTTTGCAACGTAATCCTATGTTTAGTTCACTTTGTGGCTTTCCTTTCTACGGTCATATCCCTGTATTTTAATTTATCTTTTCTTTGTTTTGATAACTTTCTTGCTGTAAAGCATAAATATGCCCTTCACTCCTTTTGTTGTGGACCGCAGGCTACTAAGTTCGCATGTTACCTTAACACAACGCCACTGCTTAGTCTAAGTTCTAGACTCTACGACATACTCAGGTCGAAAGATCAGCTTCCAAATCCCTTTCAACTAGAATCGAGTTTTCTTTTTTATTTTCAGAAATCAGCATCATATTTACTGCCTTACGACATGCTTCCATGGAGCAGAAGTTCCCAGTCTCTGCAGATAAGTTCTGGAGGGACAGGCACTGCCTATGTGTTTGTGAATGTATGGATGCCAGTCCAAAAGAGACAACTTAGACAAAAAGTACCTAGAAGGGACATTTTGAAATAGGTAGCAGAGGAAAACGTAGCTAGGTGAACAAGAGTGGACCTTTATGTTGCTGGCATAAACAGGGGAATCAAATGGTCTGCTAACTCCTCACAAGAAACACTGCACAGAGAAAATTTTAAAGGGCAGAGATTAAAAGGGATTATTACGATGAAGTTGTATAGCATCGAAGTAGTGCATGTCTTGAACTAGCTGAATGCAGTCCACTTCCTCATATCTTAATTTCTTAATGCCTGACGTAATATTATCCTCCCACCTGCGCTTGATTTCCCCAATTGACCCCTTCGTTTCAGGTTTCCCGATCAAAATTTTTGTATGAATTTTTAGTCTCCACATTCGTTCTACATGCTCTGCCCACCTCATATAAACACATTATAACTTCTTCAGAAGGCCTAAATATGTGCCACATTGGAAGCTATTTCTGAGAATAATTGTCATTTAGAATTCGAACACGTACAGATGTATGTTATATATCTTGTCTTTGCGAGAAATTCTAAGGACGGCAAATACCAGACATGCCTGTGTGTAATATACTGTGCGAATGTTCATAACAACTCTATTTTTGACAGCTTATGAACTGCAGACGCACGCTGTCATCAAATAATTATTGCTGATCTGGGTAATCATGACATTAATTTCACGCCGATTTCCGTCTACGTACCACTGCGTTCTTTAAAGAGATAAAGACATGAAATAACAGAAAGCAGACTTATATTTTGTAACATTCGGTCATTTTTACTTCTCATAAACATCACCGAACCAGGAAGCAATCTATGCAAAATACGAGTACCCACGAAGGACGCGTGAGAAGTTAGTTCTTCAAATGGCTGACATTGAAACAAAAATAAAACAGATTAAACGAAAACAAAGAAATTATTTGGGGAAGAGATGAACATGACTGTAGACAGGAACAGAATTAAAGACAGACTGATGGCCAACACCGAGCAGTGGTTGTTACTAGGCAGGGAAGACAGAAAATAGCTGCGATCAATATGTACAGCCGGAGCCAACATGGCGGTACGCGCTGCAGCAGCCGAGCTGACTGTGTACATACACACGCAAGGGATATGAGGACACGGTATTATGGAAACCAAATAATCCCAAAATATCAAACAATAACACGTTCTAAATTTCAACGAAAAACACCATAATTAAGCTTTTCATTACTTTAGGAAAGATTTATGAAGACAATGAATGACATTGTGATAAATTACAGTGTAAAATAGCGGTTCTAGTTCATACTGCTTCTTAGTCACATTGTTTAACTCATGAAATTAAAAAGCATCGTTAAAGAACCCAAGATTAAACTGATCAAGGATGTGATTTGTAAAAGGGCGGTAGATACTATCCTGGAATTCGACTGCACAGACCGAAAAAGTCACGACAGATATTAATTAGATTATCTCATGACCGGTCAAGATTCGAAAGGGGAATCTCCGAATTCTAATGTATCACTGCATCAAGCTGTTTGCACGAATAAGTGCGCAATCTATGTTCGCGAGCCAGAAACAACTTACAACTGCACTGCTATACCATGAGCGAAAACACCTGTGGGCCTTTCTACGTCTGTCGATCGACTTTTTCCTTGATCGTTTCAAATAACGCACGAGGATACTCCTTCTATTCCGAAACGCAACAATCTAAGTCGAGTTTCCTGTTAGTCGTTAACGAAGTAACTTGATGTCACTGTCACTGTCACTGTCACAGTGTCGTGGTGTCAAAAACACATTTGCAATTTCAGTGCTCCCCATTGACGACTCCTTTCCAATCCTGTACAATCTGAAGCTTCCAAGGCGACTAATTACAATGAATTATTCTCGGGGTACCAGCATCATAAGGACAAGGACGGTTCTCGAAACGTTTCTGGTTTCTCCATTAAACCCTCCAACACGGCTGATAGCCCAAGTAGAATTAATTATACTTTCCAATCTTCTTGATACCAGAGTCACATAAGAGCCACAACTTAAGTTGGAATACTGATGAGAAAATACGCCCATATGAACAATATGAAATGGGTCTAATTAAAAAGAAAACTGTGAAGTTCTAAACTGCTAAGAATACGATATTAACTCTATTAATTCTGTCCCGTTACTGACCTGTCCTAACTAGTTTGTTCCAAGTATGTATGTCTGTGGCTCAAAGTATTGAAGATAAATGTAAAGCTGAGCTCATACAATGCCTTCTAAGAATTCTGCCATGTAACAACAGGAGGGTAAAAAGTCACTTAAAGTTACTAGGCAGAGATCAAACAGGCTAAATACACACATGAGAATGTTTCTTTAACATCTTGGACACGGTTCTCAACCTATGAGTTACATGCAACTCAACAAAATTATTTGGGCAGCTCATGTAAATTTTCTGTAATATTATGTGATTAAAAATGGTTATTTGTCTCGTTAATGTTGTCAGTTCCTCGCAGCACCTACCACTGTAAGCAACAGTCTAGCTCAATGAAGAATGAAATATCAAAAATTCTTTAATGACGGACACTTGCAGGGATTATCTGACCACAGCCTCTTGCACTGTGCTGAATTCAGAATTTGTATGTAATAATACAATTCTAAACCAAATCTGAACATAAATAATGCAAGTAATGTGGAAATAGAATTAATAAGTTTATTATGTATGATGCACCAATATGGTACAATTTACATCACAGTCAAACCTTTCATTGAAGTTTACACAGATCTTTCAAAATCCTGAAATTCTCAAATATTTAAGGTTTGAGGCTTTTGAAGAGGTGAGTTTGAAGATGGCTGTGTTCTGGGTTGTTGCACTGTATAGTCTGGTATAACTGACGCTTCAGAGGTCCATGCTGCCTCCACCATCAGGGCAACCTGTGCTGTGTAGTCTGGTACAAGTTTGCCGATGTTTCAGAAGTCCATGTTGCCTCCACCATCAGGGTGATCTATGCTGTGTAGTCTGGTATATGTCTGCCAATGTTTCAGAGGTCCATGCTGCCTCCATTATCTAGGCCGTAACACATCACCCTGATGATCAGAGGCAGCATGAACCTCCGAAACGTCAGCAGACTTCAGACTGCACAGCACAACAACCGAAAAGACAGCCATCTTTCTTCTAATATTTCACCAAATTATAATATAAGAAATCCTTCTGGAACTGTGTTTGGAAATTCAGTCAACAATATTGTAAACAACAGCACCATCTTTCTCTGGTTCCTCATCTTCTTGTTCTCCCTCACTGTTGGCCATTTCATCTTCTGAACTGCTGTTTGAATCACGATACATTAAGCGAAGGGAAGGATCTGGTAATGTATCACCCATTGTCACGCCCAAGTGATTTGCCAGTTTCTCAGCTGCATGCTCAGCTTGAATATCCTATACCAAGAATAACATTATGTATCCTTACACACAGATGTCAGTGATGACCATGCTTGTATTAAGGCAAGACATTACCAGAAGGAATCTTGAGCATTTTAATGTTACTGGCTAATGTATTTCATTTCTGAATTTCTAATTCACATTCTTTTGTACAGGCAGAATTTCTGGCTTCTATGCCATGGCACAGGCTTTTCACTGTGTATGAACACTGCAATGTTTGCTACCTTTCATAATCAGTCAGCTACAGTGACAGTTAGACTGCAGTAACATTATACAGTGAAGTTCATTTCCTTATATTACTTGAGATGCTAAAAATGTTCCCTATCACCTCAGATAAATTCACCACACCAAAACAAATTCAGGCTCACATGCTGTAACAATTCTCTCACTACAAGGGTCACTTCAAAATGAATAATTTCTATTGGTTCTTCCACATCTGACAGACTTTGCTTTTTAATCCCCATTGACCAAAGATATTATGAAAACTGCCTACTGATCATGCAGCTGTAAAGTGTGCACAACTGTGGTTTTCTAATGGCACAGTTTTAATAACTTCGTAGTGGTTCTTGTGGACCCTGTTTCTTGCGCAAGGTTACAATTTACTTATAAGATTCTGAAACGTGTTTCTCTGGGGAATTCAAACCCCTAGAAACTTTCTTCTGAATATCCCCAATTCTTCTAGCAGAGCTAAATTTAACATGATTCTTACAGAAACATCAACATTCTGGTATAAACTTATCCATGTCCAAAAAAAAGTCTAATATGATTTGAAGCTTTCGTGGCGACATAACTCAATAAAATCTTCTAAGGCGATCATCCGCATCAAATGGTTAAAAGACAAAATTGATGTTTCAGGAACCATCTCTGTCCCCATCAGAACCCTGATGATGGGGACAGAGATGGTCCCTAAAACGTCAGTTTTGTCTTTTAACCATTTGATGCGGATGATCGCCTGAGTCTTGCACAACACTAAGATGTGATCATTTGCACTGCTAACTCGTGCCACTCGCTGTCGCAGCTGACACAGTAGGAAAAGCAGCAGCCACTGCAGAGATCAAGCATAACATGAAAGCTCTGCCCAGGCATAGCCATCTGTACTATGAGAATATGACTTTTAACAGCTCAAAAAAAATTTCATTCCATTTTAGGTTTAGTTGATATTATTCTGAAAAGTATTTTGTCCATAAATTTGCATGAAAAATAACAAGTACCTTTAATTTTGCTGCCTGCTCTTTCTGAAGAAGAAGAGACTCCTGTAAGCTGATTAGTTTTACATCTCCGTGGATAGGTGGTGGTGGAGTGGCAGCTGTTACTTCCCAATGTGGGCCCAGTGGCTTCTTACTCTGTTTAGTGTCAGCTGACTGTCCACTTGGTTTTGGTATGCGATAAGGTCTGAATTGCTCCTTTCTATTTTCTCTTTGCTTCTCAAGCTTGTTACACAATAGCTTCACATAAGCATCTTCCTCTGGTTCACTCCCTTCTATTCTACTAGTAGAACAACATCCTGAATCCTTCAAGTCTTCAGGTTTTATAAGACTTTCTTCTGGTTCTTCAATTTTATGGGTTTTTTTATATGTGCCAACTCCAGACTGGGTTGCAAGTATTTTGAGTGAGTTCCTATCCTCATCACTTTCATCATCACTATCCAATAACTGAATTTCATGAGGAGTATGTGAATACTTTCCTGTCCATTCTATCTCATCAGATACACTACCTTTCCCAATATTTAAACCAGAAAACAATCCACATGTTTTTTCAACTTCATCTCTGTGTAAAAGTTCCTCTCCTAGCTGAGATCGGAATTTGGATATTTTTGCACCCTTGTCTGGCAGCTTCCCTATAAAACTTCTGAAAAATTGAATATCATTAAGATTAACACTTTTGTTAAGTCCCTTATATTCAGTATCCCTCTGTGGTTCTAAATACAAACTTGTTAAAGCTCTCTGATAATTAAATAAATATGATAGCATTAAAAAGCCAACATCTTAGTTCATGGTTAGTTAGGAAAACAATTTTGGTTATGATAGATTGTGTTATGCATATCATTGCTTGCTCACAACGTATCTGAATGAAAGCAGCACACACAATATAATCTGACAAGATATTCCATACACAGCAGGGCATAAATTTTAATCCTGGGGATGCAGAAACAAATTACGTTTAAACTGCATTTAACATACTAATAAATGCCTTTGACTATGTTAATTGTCGTTTTTTTTTGTGTTATACTGTGAACCCACGAAACGATTTTATAATAGTAACATCTCACGCGCATCACTGAATTTATTCACTTGCAAATTACTAACCAATTTCCAAAAACACTGCCGACTACTGTTTCGCATTTTTACTATACTACACGAAACATCTGTATCTTGATATGAACAAACGTTCATGTCATCAGACATTTCTAATCTCAATATTTTTACTCACTTATTAATAAGAAGTTTGTCCTGTCTTTCAATTAGTTCAAGCAATTCTGATTTGGTTTTTAAGCTCAAATCTTCAATGTATCCTTGCCTCTCACGAGGAGAAGGTTTGGGTATATTACCGGGAATTCTTTTGATAATCTTCTCGTGCAACATCACACCATCTTTACTACATCTGAGACTAACACTTTTTTCTCACAGATTATACCAACTTAGATCGGTAACTTTATGTTGTGTTGGTAACGTACAGTGTGTTGATTAGTTCACATTGCCCTGCCATCTATACGCAGCGATAATAAAACTATCTGCCTAGGGCTGCCACTACAAACCCTTTACGTGGTAACAAACAAAGCTGATGTGATACAATGCTGGGAATATGTATAATTTTCATTGCTTTTCTATGTTTTCGTACAGTGGCACTGGTTTCCTAATTCTATGAAAACAATTTTCAGTAGGGTATTCCTTAGTTGTTCCTGACATACCAAACTCCTCAATCTCAATATACTACATACAGTTCATGATCACGTGAATGTGCATCAACATCCATCTGCCCTCCTTTAAACCCTTTCATCAAACTTACTAATGTGGCCATTCTTCCATAAATGTCAATAATTTCAAACCATCCACCATAAAAACTGAATCACAGGCCATTCTTCTTTGGGATTCTATCAATGGAGCATCTAAGCTAAACCTGCAACAGAACAGTCAGTACTTAAAATACAATTAAAAATCAACTGGGTACAAATTAGGGAAGGTTCAAATTACTATCTTTTTCAGTGCTACCAACATCAATTTCAAGGTAAACTAAAATTGATATTTTTGACTTCCACTTGTTTTTGTGGAAAAAGTTACAAAAAGTGAATAAGAAAAAGGATGTAATACGAAAAAACAACATAAACAGAGTTCACTAAAGCACAGTAAACATGTCATAATAAAAAATACCTTACTATATGTAAAAAAGGGGATAAGTAGGAGCAAAGCTGTAACTGGAATTAACAACATAAACAGAGTTCACTAAAGCACAGTAAACATGTCATAATAAAAAATACCTTACTATATGTAAAAAAGGGGATAAGTAGGAGCAAAGCTGTAACTGGAATTAACAACATAAACAGAGTTCACTAAAGCACAGTAAACATGTCATAATAAAAAATACCTTACTATATGTAAAAAAGGGGATAAGTAGGAGCAAAGCTGTAACTGGAATTAACAACATAAACAGAGTTCACTAAAGCACAGTAAACATGTCATAATAAAAAATACCTTACTATATGTAAAAAAGGGGATAAGTAGGAGCAAAGCTGTAACTGGAATTAACAACATAAACAGAGTTCACTAAAGCACAGTAAACATGTCATAATAAAAAATACTTTATTTTATAGTTGTTTCAATTTGTTGTAGAACTCATAACCACTTTTCTTACAAGAAATATGGAAAATTATGTTGGAATTACAATCACACATTGATACAATCATCACTTTCAGTCATGAAGCATGTGTTTAGGACATGCTTTAAAGAATAAACTATACAAGTGACCAACATTCAATGAGATCTTGAATTAGACACTTAATAGTCCAATCAATATAAAGCTACAAATTCTGACATGAATTAACACATTTACTTTCTTTTTGTTGTATATATCTGACTACACAGATGACCCACAAAGTGGAAAGAAACATCTTAGGAAGAAATTTTGACTATGGTTCACTGTTTTTTGAAGTAGAAGTCCTGATAAGTTGTGTATGTACAGGGTACTGAAAGCATTTGGTTGGAAAATAAATACACAGCACTAGAAGTGGAAATGCCTATCAAGTTATTTATTCTAAATAAACAAGTTAGGGAATGTACACATGACAAAACAATTGTGGCTTGTGCACCAGGGAATCCTGCATGCAGTGGAACTCACACAAGTCTTATGTTGCTTGATCTAAACCAAAAGTGGAATGTGCTGTCAAATTTAGTAAAAATTAGACATAATTAGTAAAAGCGATAGAAAATTTAATGAAAATCTGTTCATATATCAAATTGATACTAGAACACAACATGTCTAAAATTGGATGAAATATTTCTAATGCTGTTGCATTTGAAGTATCAGAAAAATGGAACATATCAGGTTGATCTATTTGATTTTGGAAAGGGCTGATGTATGTAATAATCTCAATTTTTACTGACAAGTTTTCATTTCAGAAGTTTTCCACTGTGATAGTTAGTACCCTTTTGGAAGAATGTGCTTAAAAATGTTATTAAATTCTTTTCCCAGTAGCCCTTTAAAAGTATTATGCACTATTCTGATTACACTAAGGCTGCTTTCTTTCCCATTTGTGACAGGAAAATACATTATAAATACCATAAAAGAAATGCTAAAGTTGGCTTTCTTGGTTATTAACATAATATGGATTTGTAGGTAGATACTGATGTTTTGGAGAAACATACCATCTCCACGGCTGATTCTTCTCCAAAATACTAGAACCTACCTACATGTCCACATGGTGTTACAACTCAGAAGGCCAACATGGACACCTTCACACCTGTGAGAACTTCAATAACATCCAGGAATCAGTCCTGAACAAAATTATGAGAAAAGAAAAGAAATCAAAATATATTCTGTAAAGTCCTTTTTTATCCGTCTTTCTTTCAAACAAATTTTACTTATCGGAGTAATTTCATATTGCTCTTCACATTATATTATTAAAATAAGGGGTATTTCTCCCAGACACCCATAATTTTGCAAGAGGGAGACAGCCAGGTCTTAGGTCTGTTTAGAATGTGCACTTGGATGGTTTTGGGCAGTGCTCCAGAACTGTGGTCACTCATTTGCCAAAGACAAGTTGACACAGACCAGTGGCAAGTATCTGTGTAAGTATACTACCAGTCTCCTGAGGAGTGTACAAAGTATTGTATTTCTGGAGCTCTGGTTTCTGGTTGTGTGTAAGCAACATCCAATCTTACTTCAAGCACTGTTTTGCGTGTTAGCCGGGTGAAACAGTATGAGAATTTAATGGAACTAAGGCCCACAGGACGGCAGAAATACAAGAGCAGGATCTTTTTATACATTCTTATAATAGTAATAGTGAGATGTAGCTCATGAACTAAAACTTACCACATAAATAAGTACGAAAAATAATACTGAGTTATACAATTCATAAATACATATTAGGCATAAGGTTTTCATGCGTCATGTTTGTGTTTTGGATTAAAATGTATATCTATGTAATAATATTTTTTATGAAATTCAATAGTTTGAGCCATGATTAATTGCACTGCCATGTCTGTCTGTATATTCATGTAACACATTTTATGAAATCTGACAGTATGTGCCATCATCATGACCAAAATGTATTAATGAAATGGGCAATTACGATCAAGATTAGCCAACACAGTAAAAAGAGGCTGAACAAACAAGTCTCATACAAATCCTTAACAGTGATAAATAACAGAGAGCAATGCATAGTTCCATTGGTGATGAGTGTTAATACATTTCCCTTTAGCAGTAGAATTCATATTCTCACCTTCTCATCTAAAAAGCGTTCTGGAACTTTATATCGCCACAGTTGAATGTGTACACATACAAATAATCTGTTGGGATTTTGATCCCACAATCAATATTATAAAAGTGAACACAATCTCAGAACTCATCCTTACGATCTATCTTCATTAATTCTACTTCAAATATTAATGTTGCATCTCCTGGAATCTTAGGTGGTGCCCCAGATGTACCATATCCAAGCTCTGAAGGAACAACCAGCTTTCGTTTCTCTCCTTCACACATTCTGAAAATAAATATTAGTAACTGAGGAATAATATTTTGTATTATAAATTACTTGTAATAATAAAAATTCTATCTGAGATATGTTTTTACTCACCCCATGAGTCCTTGGTCCCAGCCCCTTATAACCTGACCTGATCCAAGCGTGAATGTCAATGGTTCCCCTCGGTTGTAACTGCTGTCAAATTCAGTTCCATCTTCCAGAGTTCCCTATTAATTAAATGTTCTTTGTGAATATAAGAAGAAAATATAACGTAAAATTCTTCTTCTAACAAGCCAGTATTCAATTATACACTTAGATAATTTGAAACATAGAATGTACTTTTCCACTTACTGTGTAATGCATATGAAGAAAGTCCCCTTTCTTCGATTTCACTTGACAGTTATCTACTCTCTTTTTCACGCCAATTTTAAGCTTTTTCTGTGGGCTCATATGTTTATCGTCGTCACACAGACTCAAGTCAAAGTTACCGAAAACAACTAAAAACACATAAACAAAAAGAACAACTTTATTACCAGCCGCCATGTTTACGTTCTTTCATATTCCTCTATCAACCATTCGTAACCACTGTTTCATGTCTTACCACTCCGAGATCTTGGTTCACAGAATGCTCTCTAACGAAAATGACGATCGTCCTACTTCTGCGCATGCGAACTATGAGAAACACGTGGTGAGCGATTTGTATGTAAACAACTTAATGGTGAAAATTTTGTGTAGTTTACTGTTCTTGTTAAAGTACACTTATTTCCTTTTAACATTATTCGAGAACGACAGTCTACAATGAGTTTTGACAAATTTAAGGATACTATAGAGCAAGGAGATACTGTCATTCTTTATTTGAATGTTAATAGTATGCATGCTATTCAAGTTCAACCTAAAATTAAGAACAAGAAAGATGAATGGGTTGAAAATGTTTTTCAAACGACCTACGGTGCACTGAAGGTCCAGTCTCTTGTCGGAAAAAAGTTTGGAACTAAAGTAGCATTGTCAAGAGGATGGGCGTATGTCTTGCACCCCACACCCGAGCTGTGGACCCTGACCTTACCACATCGAACACAAATTATATATACTCCAGACATTAGCATGATAATTTTTCAGCTAGAAATAAGACCTGGAAGTGTGGTTGTTGAATCTGGTATGTAATATAATGATTTTATATAAATAAACCTGAGTAGATGCTAGGTTATGTTCAGGGCTCCAGAAGTATCTCGTTTGACTTTACCACAGTGACATAACTGTTTTCACTAAGTGTTTTTTGATGTTTATGTTCTGCTTTATAAAAATAATGCACTGAAGGAAAAGACTATTTAATCATCCACGGCTTACTATGTATATTATCGGAAATGACCGAAATCTGTCTAAACTAGTTTGTCCTAGGTGGAACTAGAATACCTAATATAATCTAATTCAACCACACTCCTAACAGCAACACGAGTTTCATTTATCTAGGACAAACTGGTTTGAATGAATTTTGGATATTTCTGGTTACATGTATTTCTATACAGTACAGCAAAACAGAAGTTTTACTATACTAATTCATTATATGATCTTTAATTGTTAAAATATAAGTAATTGTTTTAATTTTTATACACTGCTTTGTTAGACTTTTTCAGAATTTTTAAATACTGCTTAAATTTCCTATTACATGTTGATGGACAATTGTTGTTACTTAGGAATATTTAAGAAACTGTAATTAACAGTTAAATTTTAAATCCAAGAGATTTTCTCCATGAGATGTATATTTTATTATTAGCATTGTCTAAATGAGTTCTGTGTGGACCTCATGTGTGTGTGTGTGTGTGTGTAAATGTGAAAGTACATGAAAAATGTATATAAGGACATTTACTCACGCATTGACTTAATCTACAGTGTAGCATGTACTTAAACTTATTGTGTGTCTTCTAAATCATGTATATTGTACACTGACTTATTAATGTGAAGTTGTATTTTGATACAAAGTGTGCCGCAACAGAACATTGACTTTTACCATTGAAACAGGAGAATCTCTGTTGTTAATTGTGATATGCTGTTAATTTATAATTTTCTTAACACGACTTAGTGTCTACATTCACACTTAAACTTTGTATGTAACATTGATTTACCACTTCCCTTTGCAGGCACTGGAAGTGGCTCTTTGTCACACGCTCTTATACGCTGCATCAAGCCACAAGGACATCTGTACACATTTGATTTTCATGAATATCGCGTGTCAGTTGCTCGTGAAGAATTTGAAACTCATGGTATTGGACAATATGTTAGTGTGAAACAACAAGATGTGTGTCAAGATGGCTTTGGAACTGAGCTAAATGGCAAGGCAGATGCGTTATTTCTTGATCTTCCACATCCTTGGGAAGCTGTGCCCCATGCTGCTGCTGTTATCAAGGATTTAGGTAAGTTGAACCAGACATATCGATTCGAGGGCCAGTCGAATGACTTCCTGACTGTAGAGGGGCTGCCGAAAGAGCTCAGTGTTAAAATGATATGGAGAGATGTGTACACTAATTCCCTGTTTACAAACTTTTAGTTAATGAGATTTCATATTAACACTTTCAAGGAAAACTAATGACTGTTCCTTCTTCTATGGCTCTCCGGTTCGTAATCAGACCATGGCCTCCTCAATTCTCCTCTTCCATTCGGTCCTCTGTTAGGTCCGCCTGTCCAAGGCTAGTCTGGCCTCTGGCAAGGGAGGCCCTACCAGTAGCTATGCTACCGCCAGCATAGCAATGACCATTCCTTGGTTTGCGTAATAAACTTTCACTGTAAGAACAGTATGCGAGGCCATGTCATGTTTTCTGCCAGCCCTGCTCATGCTCCCTTGTACCCCTGTGTTGTTCCGTACCGTGTTAGACATTTTTGAGAGTTTTATCTCAAAGTGTCTTCTCTTGTTTCATTACTTTCAAGTGCTTGATAACATAACCTGTGTTCATGCAAAGCTAGACATTGATTAAATGATTACTGTTCCTTATAATAAACGTGCACATGCACTCACTCAACCATGCACACTGTGTATTCTGTATACAGAAGGCCACCACTTACGTTGATCATGTTAAAAATTGTTTTTGGATTCCATTAGACTCCGAGTCTTGTCAACCAAATATTATAGGAATAACACCGGGTGGAAAAATTTAATCAGTGTTTTTTTATGAAGTGATGGTGTTTGTAAATTGAACGTGTGCTCTTGTAAACAGGACAGAATAAACTCCCGTGTAACAAACAACTTTGTTATTTATATACCTGTATTATTTAGCCAAATTTTTGCAAGAACAATCATGAATACATAGAGATTTCAATTCTTCTTGGTTGTTGCGCTGTGTAGTCTGGTCGATGTTTACCAACGTTTCAGAGGTCATACTGCCTCCATCATCAGGGCGATGAAGATTTCTGTCTTCTGGGTTGTTGCGCTGTGTAATCTGGTCGATGTTTACCAACGTTTCAGAGGTCATACTGCCTCCATCATCAGGGCGATGAAGATTTCTGTCTTCTGGGTTGTTGCGCTGTGTAATCTGGTCGATGTTTACCAACGTTTCAGAGGTCATACTGCCTCCATCATCAGGGCGATGAAGATTTCTGTCTTCTGGGTTGTTGCGCTGTGTAATCTGGTCGATGTTTACCAACGTTTCAGAGGTCATACTGCCTCCATCATCAGGGCGATGAAGATTTCTGTCTTCTGGGTTGTTGCGCTGTGTAATCTGGTCGATGTTTACCAACGTTTCAGAGGTCATACTGCCTCCGTCATCAGGGCGATGGGTTACTGGCCCCAGGCATAAATCTGTTACGAGAACCTGTAATAACATCTTTTTACTGACTTCGCTGAAGGGATATGACTGTAGTTTCGTTTTGTTCGTAATATACTACATGGTAGCAGTCTGTGTAAACAAATGACGTCCGATTTGCAACGGCCACGGACACACCAGTGGGGGGCACTTTGTTGCACCCTGGGCGGTAGGCAATCTGGCAGTCGTAAATCAAACTCGCACTTCTTCCCATGGCTATCGTCCTCGTCGCTTTAAAACATGGCATTTTTCATCTGTGACACAGCAACATGGCTCTGTTATTACTATGGGAAAGAGGTGCGTAACTTTCCAGGTAAAAATTTCCGCCCCGTTGTATGTATCTTGGTAGCGTCCAACAGGTTGACTACCGATGTTAAAACCTATATGACTTAGCAACCTGTACGAGTCAGCAATAAAAGATGCATTATTCGACGGAAGAGTTAGCAGAGGAAATTATTACCATGGGTATTTCAAAAGATCGCTGAATTACTGTACACTGGGTATGATGAAAACTTTTTCGGGTTGATTTGTTTTTCCTTTGTTTAAATTGATCTTTCCTTCCATTGTGCCGGGAGGGGACGGAGACATACCTTGAATTTTTGGAAAGAAATTACAGTTAAAAGAAAATTAAAATTATTTTGCAACATCAATGTAGGAACCCCTCGATTCCAAGGCGATACATAAGAAAATCCTTGAACAACTTAAACGTAAGTTTGTAAGCAAGTTTTCTGGCCGACGCCCCCTATCTTTTAAAATGTCCTTGCGGCGACTGTTTCTTTCTGTATGGTCACTTTCGCTACCAATCTTACGGTATTACATTCTTGGCCGGTCATCTTTATCCCATACACAAGTGTGTGACACGCCTTCGTGTACCTCAGGCTAACCTGTGTGTCACTTCAGTAAGATGTTATAATGTTCACTAAGACTACACATTTATCTCAAATGAGTAACTTTCCCCGTGCTTTGACACTGCCACTTAATTTAGTTGTCATGTTCCAGGGAGTTGTCTGTATGTCGTCATCACCACCATACGGCCTTATCGGTGAGGCGTGGTTGTGTGTAAGGGTTCGAAACTGGCTCACTGGGTGTACAAAATTCATTTCTCTACACACAACTTTCGTGTCTTATTACATCTGTGCTATGTATTCATTCATATGTAGGGCAGCTTGAATAAAACCAAGCCGTAAATAGTGCTAAGTCAGTGTACTGATAAAAACGTGAAATAATTGTTTTACGGGTTTACGCTGTATGTAGGTTATTAAATCCCATAAAGATGCAGTAATAAACAAAAAGGAATTTCTTGATTCGTGTGATTTTTCCCCCCAAAACTCCTAGAAATTAGGAGAAGAAATCGGTTGGATTTTGTCGTAATCCTAATCCCTTTTTGCTGTCGGGTGGCCTCGTTGCAAACCGTAAATTCCAGTAAAACAGTAATTACTCCCTATACTGAGTTACAAACGAATACATTTTGAAATAATTATATCTTACTAATTTCTGTTCTGTGCGTTCTTTGCATAATGTGCATAAACGTAACGCATAATGCAGGGCTCATGTCTGCCTGTTTGTCCGTCCGTCCTCATATATAACCTAACCTAACCTTGACGGACTTTTTATTAAACTTGGTACTGGAAGTTGGGCGAATTTGATTTTGGTTTGTATCCGTGTACTTTACAGTAACCCCTGATTTTTATAAAAAGGTCATGTAGGATTACGAATATCAGAGAACACAAATCTCATTAAGTTCCAGTACGTTTACCAGAACCATTTTGTGTGCAGCAGCCGAAATCTATATTCAATGGAATGCTGCTAGCGACATCGAACTTTATTAAAAGTCGGATAAAATCGTTTTTATATTTTTCAAATTCAACTAAATATTCATATTTGTTCCATCATTTTGTAGTGGACGTTTTTGATACGTACATCGTTTCTGCCTGATACGTTGGAAACTTATTGAAATTTTCTAATAATTTTCTCGCACATTAATGAAAGTGATGGAGAAATTTACTGCAGTTTGGAGCCTGTCTTCGTGATGAAATAGGAGACCGAAGAGCTGTCAATGTTTTAATTTCTTATAAAAAGCTGAACTAGACAAGCCTACATCGGACCTATTGATGAAGTGCGAGTCACATGTCTGCTTCTAAAACTATCGTTTCCTTTTTCTGCTAACTATTTTGTTAATTTAAATTAGTTTTTCTTTATTAAAAGATGAATTTACCACTATGCTTCGGCTCAGTGCCGTAAAGACATATGGGGGAATGGAAATAAAGCTCCACGCATTCTTACTTTGTAGGTGGAGAAGGGTGATCAGCCTGTCCGCTTTATAGATTTATAAAGATTTTCCTGTATCCGTTAGGTTGGTTTGCCTCGGAGCCGATTTGGACGCTGTGGTGAAGAGAATCATCTTAAATAGAAGACTTATACGATAAGTCACTGCTGGTGCGATTAAATATATATCAATAAACACCTCTTAGTTTTCTTGTGTTCGTCAATCTGTCTACAGGTAACAGCGCTCAAAATCCGTAATCGATTCCTGTTAGACTCGGTACGATAGGTTTCGTAAAGCTGCTTATATTTATATTAAGTTAGAATGGTTTTAAGAACAAATTTTTATAGGGTGTAAATCAACATTTAGGTAAATTTTATTTTTCTGAGTCTGCGATTTGTCCTAATGAACCATGGTATAAGTATGACACTGCTATTACACGGGTATTGCTATGCTAGTGTTTTATTCAGTTTAATTTGTTTGGAATCCCATATTACTTATGAGTTGAGTATACCCTCTTGGACATATAGCGACTATTTAATGACGTTTTAAATACGAAAAGTATTGTTTATTCTCAGGCCTGTTTTTGGTTTGGATTAATGGAATCTTTCGTAGATATTGGACCGAAAGTTTTTATTTTCGTGACATGAGTGTACCTGTTTTTTTTCCTGTCCAATCTCTCATGTTAATACTACCTGGTATGTTACATTACCGGGCAGAGAGATAAATCTGCAAACCCGGGAAGGAATCAAGACGTATGGTCATCGTCGGCGGCGATGGATAGACACATAACAAGGTGGCCATAAATCCATCACTCACCAGGTGTCTTCGTCCGGACCTTTATCATAACGTGGTTCGTAACCTGTGGCCTGCACTCCCTTACGCCATTAATGTGTGGTTTGTTGCTTGTCGTTTTAATAGCGTTGTATCAACTTCGAGGTTATTTAGCGTTGAATGAATCAAGAAGGTTTGTTTTCTACTGTGGATTATAAGGGACAGAAATCGACCGAGTCCTGTTTTAAAGTACAGGTCACCTCCGAGATTCGACCTCTCGAGATCCGACCACTTATGAATTCGATAGTTGTACATTATTACTCTTCGTTGCAGTTAGATCAATTGATTTCCGCCTATTCAGTGGTCGAACGCGAAAAAATTGAACTCCTGCGCTCTACTTCGAAGCCTCCAGCCCAATCCCTACTCAAAGACCCACTGAGTAGCTTCTCTTCTTCTAAGAACTAAAATATTCTACCACACAAATGAGAACTCTACATTATTTTTAAGAACCATATTTAATTTTCAATGTATTCAAAATTCATAATTGATCCTCGGAAGTCGCGACTTCCGAAGATCCAGTCACATCAGAACCCTGAAGATGGGGACAGAGATGGTTCCCGAAACGTCGGTTTACTACGGTAACCAGTTAACGCGGCTGATTGCCCGAGAAGATTTTATTGATTGTACTCGCCGCGAAAGTCTCAAATCCTATATCTTCACATACTTCTTCAAGTAACTGTACTCATTATGCATAAGTGTACTTAATCTTGGTTAAGTGACAGTTGAATCTGTCATCGATTTGTTGTCCGCATTATGTCTATTGTGTATGAGAATAAACGAAGTAGGCGTGTAGTGCGAGAATCGGCAAACTCGATGCTTTGCGGGTGACATTAAGTTGAGGTGGGATTCAAAAAACCAGTTTGTTATCTGCGTGCTTGTGTAACATGGAGTCGGGCGTGACACTTGTGTAATAAGATTTTAAATTTCTGTTCGTTCATAATCCTGCGTATGATTCGTATTTATCTCTGCGTCTGTTACTTTCCTTTTTAGGTGCTTTTGCACCTCTGCGGATACTTTCCCAGAAGATAAAGGCTTAAAGTAAGTTGTAGCGGTGATGGCGACGTTAGATTATCCAGCGTGAAAGGATGATGATCTTGAGTGATGAAAAGTCAAAATTTCGGGAGGAGGGCAGTCATGACTGATTTGAAGCCAGTATCTGTAGTCACCTGGAGGGTCCTAGGAAAACCACGAATAAATGTTCGGATAACCGGTAACCTGATCGATATTCGAACCGGGTACCTCACGAATAGAAATCTACACCAATCTACAAAAGGGAAGGATATCACTTGAAATCCCAGGAAAACGTTTTGAATTCTGATCGAGCTCATCACCAGCTGCAAACACCTGCTTCCGAGAGCTTGGGCTGTATTCCAGAAGGACGGTCGTTGGCACGAAGGGGAAACTTGAATGTCAATGTTGAGGTCCAGCATTGAACTTGGACCCTAACATCCTCATCAGAGGAGAAGGAATTGGAGGAGCTTTAGCACCGTTATTCGAAAGGTGATAGACACTCATACCCCCCCTTCCCCGTTTCTGACGCAGTGAGTGAATGTTACTCAGTTTCTGCGCGTTACGGATCCGAAAAGTAATGGTTTTATCGAGGCCTTTTGTTGTGTCTCGCGTTGGAATTACCCCGGACGGCACGAGTGGGTTACCAAATAAAAAGGCTGGTCGCAGCCTGGCTGACACAACTTCGCTGCCACCTATTATGACAACCATAGGCGTACATATCGTTCTTATTGCAGTAAACTCGGTTTATACGCTTATTTTAATTCTTTGTATGCATTCAGCACCTAATAACGAGTATCACCCACACATTGACTCATTCAGAGTGTGTCACGGTTTTTAGTGTCTTAAGTGGTTCATATTTTATTTAGTGACGTTTCAATACTAGAGTTTGGAACAGGTTTGTGTGATGGCATTTTTATTGACTTAAGTGAGATTTGAGGTTCTGGTAGCCATGAAGATGACCATGGTGGTCTTATGAGTTGTGGCGCCGTGTAGAGTTGTGTGTACGAACGCTTTGGAGAAAATACCGCCTCGAAGATGGAGGCAGTATGTTACACAGAATCGTAGGTATCCTCCTGTAAGCCCACACTGCGTCACAACCAAGTAGACCACCATTGGAATCCTCTAGACGTGAATTCGGAGGCATCTAGTTTGAAACTCGGCCGGATACTAGCTGTCGTGACTGGGACTTTTGCATCTTTCCCAAAGGAAACTCCGGTATATTGCTGTAACATTGGCAGTCTAATCCACCACCTAAACATTTATCTACTCAACCCCCCCCCCCCATTATCATAATGTCTCTTTTAACTTTGTATGATGATATATGCATCTCAATCTGCGTATTTAAATAATCTAAGAATTAATCAGACCTCAGAAGTTATGCAGATTCGAATGAATTGAGAAATTTGGACTGAAGGAATATGAGCTTGAGTCAGGAGGTTCGCCCGAAATTGGAACTGGATACTTCAAGAACAAGTTGTACGCGCTGTTTCAATGTCTTAATTATGATACGAGTTAAGATTTCACATAGCAGTGGCGAATGCCTCGTTCTGCCTTGTAGTGCAACACCAGAACAGTAAAATTGGAGGAATACATCAAAACATTTTACCATATAACAGCGGCATATTAGAATTACACTTGATATTAAAATATCTTAGCATTGTGGTGCGCTTTTTTTTTGGGGGGGGGATTTAATGATATTTCGATTCCTTACCACGTGACTTCTAGACCGGGATTCGCCACTGTTTCATAGCAGGAACCCCTGACTGGGACAATGACAGAGATGATCATGATGAATTGCATATTGAAAAACACACAAAACCATCCTTGCTTGTTGGGGGGCGGGGACGTGAATGGGCTTCAGACCGAAACGGCCGCTAGTTAACGTCCATGACTACATCTGATAGCCCAAACTCCTTTCTTATTTAAAGGTTTACATTTATTGTGCACTAAGTTGTACATTTTGCAGTAGTGCCATACAAATTCGTTGCAAATGGAAAGACATATGAAACTGCGGTTTTGATTCGTGTGCTTTAAAGCAGTGGTATTCAACCTGGGGTACGCGAAGACATCTTAGGGGGTACGTGAAATTTAAATTTTTTTTATGATAAATACTGATTAACCAGTAATGTAATGTATTTAATTTATTTTAGATGTAGATTATATACTATGTATAACTTGAATTATACACCAACAACTTTGGGGGTACAAAGTTGAAGAAAAATTATATATGGGGGGTACACGAACAAAAAAGGTTGAATACCACTGCCTTAAAGGTTCTATAGTGTTTTAAATTGAATGACGTACCTTTATATTATACCCAATAAGTGACACACACACATATCATCTAATACGAAATGCACTGTGAACCCGTGGATTTATACCGTGAAGAGGAAAATATTAAGGATGTCCACAACCATGTTTATGATTGGAGTTACTTTGTTAAGAAAGTCACATAACTCACTTCTAAATATTTCAATAACTTTTGATTACTGAATTGTATTTTATTGTTATACATGTACAATTACCTGTGCTCGTGGCACAACTTACATAACGTTAATAATGTGATTTACGTTGAGGGAACTGAGCTACCCTTCCAGACCCTATTGCAGCCTAATAGTTAATGCTACCTTATATCCTGGTGTGTCGACTACATTTAGTCCATTACGTTAACAATTTTGTTTTATTTTCCCCTCACGAAAATCCGACGCTAGGTCTGGCATTTCTTGAGGCGTTTTTTATGCCGAACTTCTGCCAGTCTAATGGACGTGAATGACATGCAATTTTTAGGCCATAACTGAATACGGCTGTAAAGAAGTAATTGCGTGCACACAAAAAGACAATCGATCGTCGCCCATTAGTGCTAGAGCTTCATATTCGGAAGTCCTGGGTTTAGATACAGGCCCGGATATTGTATCTCCTGACAGGTTTGTATTGTTTTCTTCAGTACCTTAAAAGTGCGGTGAGTAGGTCAAGGCATTTCTAAATCATAGTTTAGAATCATCGCAACCGTTGGACACTATGTAGAATATGTAGTTGATAAGGTGTCGTCAACCAAGCCAATAAGCAAAGCTACGAGCCAGCCAATTACCGAATGTTGTTTGCGAGCTGCCTGCTCAGAGCTGAGAGTTAAGTAGGTAAGCTTGCAGACCTTCAGATCTCCAATTCACTGTTTAACAGTCCCGGATCTGTTCTATAAAGTGGATCCGGCTTGGCTCCTTCCTTCTTTCTTGCCATGAAAATAACCATCGTCTCGCTTATCGAAGGGCTGGCTATACCTGCTGGTGATGTAAGGTTCGATTCAGTTGTCACTAGGACGCGGAAGTTCTGTGTTGCTAATCGCTCAGCGTATACAAGGGTGGACGGTCTAGTGCGGTAATAGGCCTAGATGAAGTGTCCTGGTTCAAGCCCTGTGGAATGCAACGATTTGAAGACTTGAACAGTCATCTCTCTGTGGGACTAATTGTCGGAAAACCTCACTTACAAATTACAGAGTTGTTACAATAAATTAATAGAAATGTGAGTTGTGTGTTCCATTCAGAAGAGCATCGGTGTCGAAAAGTGAGTATGATTTAGTACTTTTTATGTTATAAAATGTTATTATTTCTAGATCTTCAGTATAAAAGTGAAACTTTGTTTGTAGTGAAACTGTCCTTCACCAGCCGAATATTTTAAGACCGGAAGAAAAACTTCTCACAGTCTGTTGCTTTAATAACAGGATATTAATTTTCGTCCACTTTATTTGCATTTGTGGCCTTTCGAATTTTTCTGTTAGGTCGTATGGCTTCGTGTAATGTTCTTACATGTAAGTTGACCTTACTGGGCTTGTCCAGTAGCTGTTTTTCAAAGGCCGCGCTCTGCCGATCACAAGAAAAAAGTTATAGTCCCTTGATGTCTCCACGTTCCGTGTACTGGACGATTCAGTATAGTTTTGCTGTTCAAACTTATACCTTTATAGGTCACTTTACAGCTGTATCTATATATATATTGTCTGATTGATGTGGAGCTAATGTTAATAATTTGTTCTTAGATTCCACATCATAGACTAGCATTTTATTCATTGCGTTATTGAATTAAACGATATTAATTTTTGACTACTACGTATGCTGGTGTCGGACCTCAGTTGAAAATTGGAAGAACAGTGAAATGAAGTGCGAATAATAAATGAATCTAGAAAAAAGCGAATTCCAGTCCATCAGCTCAATTGTATGACGCGGGTGGCAAAGGGGGTTTATATATATGGTTCAAGATAATTTCCTGTTATCCTCAACAGATAAGCTGTAATGTATAAACGGGGTCACAGATGGTATTACATGTATGTGATTTCCTCTGTACAATTACTTGGAGCAGCATTACGTTTATTTAAATGTTTCAATCCAGCGCGACTCTTATGCGTTACAATTTACATGTATGCGAACTAATTGTAGTAAAGAGTCATATTAACTAAGAAGTAAATTTCATTGTAGGAGTGCCTGATACTATACGGTTCAGAATATTTAAGTTTGTTTCATAGAAATGCAAAGTTAAGGTACACAGCCGCATATATGAAGGATATCTAAGGATAAACTGTAGCATGTCAGCGTTAAGGATTATGAGAATATTTGAATCCAAAAGAGAAGAATGCTCATTTGACTATCCGAGAAAAACCCCTATTAAGAAGGACTGCTTCACTGAGTTAATTACGTACTTGGTTATTTGATGGAGGTAGACACATTTAATTTTTGGTGACATGAATTTGAGTGTATTTGATGCCATTACACAAATGCAAATCGGTTATGTAACGTAATGGGTTTTTGGAATCTGAAGTTATGGAATTTAAACATGTAATGCCCGTAACATGTTGGTCATGTTAGTTTGTTTAACAATGTTATCGGTAACTCAGACTATATAGCGTAGTCATGTGAAGTTTTTCGTAAATCTTTACCATCACACTGCTTATACTAGATTAATACTTACTTATATGGTACACGATCGCCATAAGCTTTGTTGTGTGACGATTTCTTTCGATATTCTGTAAAAAAGCAATTCAAGTAACTAACGGAAAATCCTTCAAAACATCGTTCAACAAGTCTTTTTTTATTTTTAATAAGTAATTTAATTGAGCAATTGTTTGTCAGCCCTGTTGGTAAGAGTTCAGAGCTTAAATCACAGATGGCGCTGCAATACATTTCTTGTTTACTGCTTCGTCACGGCACATGGATGTATTTGGGATTTGCATGTATTGCTAGTAACTAATTATATAAAATTACAATTAATTATATTTGCAGTTATTTTATCAGTATTTTGCACAATTCGACAGTTTGTCGAATGTGTAAGAATAATTGCTTATGTATGCAATATAATAAAATTGCGATGTTTTAATTGGAACTATAATTACTTTTCTACAATTCAACGAAATGTGCAGTGCCATTATATAGTTTAGTGTTTTCTGTCATAGTGTCTTTTATTTTTCATCTTATCCTCTTGTCTTCTTGTTTAAAAATGCACGTAACATCACAGTTGTGTGCGTGGTGGTATTTTAAGAAAGAAAATGCGTAGTGTATGTAAATAATTTTACGAAATTATCAAAACGGCCATTCTCACCTTCACATTGACCTCTGAAGTCCTGCGACGCAAAATGTCGGCTGAACAGGACTTGATATAGTCGCGGCAAATATGGCGCTAGCCTATCTTAGCAGTAGTACGTAGTTAACGTGATTTAAACAGGATTAAGACTGCTGTTATCACAAAAATACAGAAAATATTACTTTTTAGACAACAGAACGAACATTATGTATTAGTGAAACTGTAGGCCTAATTTATACTTCCATGTCATCTTACAGTTCTGTCAACTCCTTGCCGTTTAGCGCATTAAAACACAAGCTTGAATTTTTAAGTGGTCCATCTCGATAAATTTGCTCAAATGATCTATTTTTGTTTTTGCACAGTGAATATTTTGGGGTTTTAATATTCAATTCCTGGTATTTTCCTTATAAGTTGTTAATTGGTAAGAATATTCAACCAGGCGTAGCCCTATGTGACTGAAATAGTTAAAATTATCTTTATTTAATATATTATTTCATATAAGGGCATATTTGGAAGTGAAGTATTCAGTAGAAATGTGATGTACCGTTTTATGGTTTGCTGACATGACAGAATGTGATTTGTGCGAGTAATATGTATTATAGTAAATGAGTTTCTTTTAGCACTGTGTTTCTGACTACATCTCTTCCGGAAACTGACATGTATTGGCAGGAATGTGTGAACTTAAAACAGTACTTTATAGTTTTTATAAATCACCCACACCATGATAATACGAATAGAAGTTAGAATTTTACCTGGGGTTTTAAATTTTTGTAAATTCTCTGTTGGTGTTTCAAACTTAAGAATCTTTTATGATTAATATTTGATATATTGTTTGCAGCTTGTTCTTAAACTATTATTTTATCAAAAACGTTAACCAGACAGTGTGAGAACATTAGTTTTTGAAATCATAAGAAATGTTATCAATATGAGTACATTAATTAATACTGACTAAGAGTATAGAAATACGCTGAGATAAACTATGAACTATTAAAATAATTCATATTTTTCTTTTTCTGTTTAATCTCCTATTTATTTTTTATTTTATGTTCACTGATGCATTGGGAATTTACGTATGCATTTGGGATTTTAATTCCATCGAATTCTGTATTTTCAGTGATGAATAATATGGAAGGATAAATTAAATGAGAATTATTATTATTCAAAGAAAGGACTTCTATGGAAATAGGCTATGCTTAGTACAACCAGTTTCCGTAGAACATCAGATACCTTACTATATTTTTATAGCTTACACAGTAAATAGTTCGTGGCAGACTGTGGTTTGTGCATTCGATTGTTAGCAATGTATTGGAGGACAGAAACGCAATGAAGATATATACTACTGTATGTCGAGTGAAGGAAACTTTTATACCACCTATAATATATATGCTTAGGATCTTTAAATGAAGTGGTTATATTTCGATATTTGTCGCCACTATTCAGAATTGACTCGACCCTATTGAACCGAAAGTTTAGTAGGAGAGGAAGTTTACTCGAGTCCAATCGTAAAACTTCTATGATTTAGACCGTTTTTAGCTGTGCACTACCTGAATTCATTTGTATAAAACACACTTAGTTTGAGTAGGGCTACTTTTATGTGACGTGTTGTAGGGAGACTTATTAAAGAAAGAACTAATATCGGATAGTTCTGGACTTCAGTCTTATTTGTCTTACATTTTATTTTTGGTATGGGCCCATTCTGTTGTATGTAAATCGTACAAAGTATTTTAAACGAAAGTTGCAGGACTCACATTATAATCGGGAGGTTCTTTTCACTGGAAAGTAAACGTGATCTGGGGCCGATAACTTAACCAGCAGAGCAAAGTTGGACCGAGAGAGCACAAGCAGCTTATTCTGTCGGTCACTGGTGGTAATCATCAACGCATTCTCTCCAAAGAAGCTCAATTCTGTATTTCTGTTTTTTGACTTCGTCTAGTTTTGAGCGCAGTGTTTTATTGCCGATATGCTGTTCCCTTATTATATTTTTAAATTTAATCCGTTCTGCCTTGTCGTTAGTATTTATTATAATATTATTCGTTTTAAGCAAAGTTAAGATGGTTCTCTGAACTACGTGTGAATGTAACCATATTTTGTTGATAATGTACGAAAAACAATGACATGGGGTCATGTCCGATGGAGAATTTATGTTCTATTATGAGTCTTCCATTTTGCATTGTCTTGGCAGGTTGGTACATCACGAACATGCATTATGTTTTGATTTATAAATTAAGGTGCTTTTGTGTTTATCTGTTGATGCGTGATAGTTTTTTTGCCATCCGACACTTGGAACGCATATTGATAATAATTGTCTTTCTCAATATAAATCATTCCGAGAATAAGTAGTGGATATGAAGTTTGTCTCACACTTACGGGTGAGAAATATTTAATATCGAACCAATGTCTCTTAAACAATTATTTTTGGCCGAGCGTGTAACAATTAATTCCACTGATAACTCATCACACTATGACTTTTGTATTAAAGGATAATACAGTATAAATATGAATTATCTGAAAAATCATACGGAATTATAATTGCATGGACGCTGCACCTTGTGCTTGCGGTGTGGCAATGATAATTTTTAAAAAGTAGGATATGAAAATAAACTTGTAAATAGTAGATGATTCTAGGCTTGACCAGTATAATTATTAAAAGAAGGTTTCGTCGTATGATTATGTTTGGAACTGAGCGCAATATCAATGCAAAAAAATCATCTAGAAGGTTCACAAACAGGCAGTTAAAACCTAGTTCTGGCTAGTTAATGCTTGTGATGATCAGTGATGATATTATTCACTCCTGATTTTTAAGTGATGGTATAAACATTTGTACTACGTGTCAGTTTTCAGATTCATTATCTTACAGTACGATACTGAACTCTCTGAGATTTGAGGTACTCGTGTTGAAGATTTTATTTTGGTCTTCTGACATCTACCTTGAAGGCGGGGGCGACACGCTCCTCTGAAACACTGGCAACTAGCTACGAAAGTACTTGGCGTCACGACTCAGAAGACCACAATCAATATCGATATTGAACCTTCATCCGGAATTTCTTCGTGCTCCAGTCCTAACTGCCGAGAAAAATGGGATTTTTTTCATTTCGGTATTTAATAACTTTACTTTGTCACTATTTCATATTATTTGTAAAGAGGTATTTAATTCGTACTGTAACCAGAACCAATTTTCATGTAAGCCTTAACAAATCCATTAGCGGCTACTGTTTGTTGCAGACATTTTAAGTTTGAGTCTTTCAGTATACTAGGCTACACGTAAATATATTTTGAAGTAGACGCTATTGGCTCACTAAACTTACAGGGTCGTGACAACCACTGCAGAATTTCCTTTGTAACATGCTTAGTCGAATTCACAAGCCACGCAGACACAGAAAGGAATCACTTTGCTTGTCCCATCGATAGGAAGAATAAACCTTAGAAACTGCACGTTCTTTCACGATGCATAATGTTTTCTTCTGTTCTGTTTCCTTAAAAGAGTTCAAATATAACAAATGACAATAAATCTTTTGGAAGTGCGCCCCAATTCGAGTACCAGAGAGCATAAATGCAGATATTTGAAAAGTATTACAGTAGTGTGGATTCAGCTTAATACTAATTTACAAGAACATTGGTCGTCAAAACGAAGTAATGAAAATGTCGATATCAAAACTCGGGTTTCCATTGTGGATTAAGGTATGTAGACCAAAAGTGAGGATCGTGTGCAGTTGAATTAAAACTAACTCTATGGACCAGAGCCCTTGAGAAGGTCATAGTCACACAACTTGTTAAGACATTTCCCACTGTTTATGTAACCACAAGGATCATTATCTTGTTGATAAGAGCCAACAACTGTTCCCTATTCAGAGTCAGATGAACTCAGTCGACATGGCCGCATCCCACTTATTTCAGACCAATTTTAATATTATCTTATTTCTTTCAAACTCAGTACGGTAGATGTGCACTAAATTTTGAAGCCATTTTGATTAATTTGGTTAATTTTACGTCAGTTTTACTGCAGAGTCTGAATGTACATTTCGTTTACATATTTCCCTGGAGGCCTGTGACAGATTTTGATGAAACTTATTATCCTGAACTTATGTTAAATGACCGCCATAATTGCATGTCGTCATCTTAATTCGATGTACGTGTCGCACCACATATGGGCGTAAAATAACTTTTGAGTCTGTCGTTGAGTCCTTCAGCGGATTTTGATTAAACTCAACATGAGACATTCTCGCGAATATTATCACGTGCACGTTTATCTGACTTTAATTCAATCAAAGGGCAGCTTTACGCAGAGTCCTCAAGATTTTTACTTGTATTTTGAGTCATGTTAAAATTTTTGATGAATTTCGACACTTGAAATTGTTATTTTTTATGTGCGCGTCGTTTATGAATTCCACTAACTTTATTTCGCCAGAATTTTGTTTGTGTTTTCAAAAGCATACCATCTGATTTTTA